GATTTTCCTTCTCACCAAAGATACAAACTCACTATAACTAATATACTCATAAAATATCAAAGCGAATTAAGAAATACCTCAATGTGGACATACGTATTCAAGATTTGTTTCAATAACTTTCCATCTCTTAGCAGTTACAACGCAAACCAAATATTTATTCATTTTTTTAGAGAGGTTTTAAACAAATTTTCCAAAGAAATAACAACTAAACTGGTAATTTTTTGCAAACGTTTATATATAATAAGGTTGTTTCGTAATCAAACCCTATCAATTTCGTAACCAAAATAATAAAAAAACAATCACACACTCGCAGTTGAAAAGGAGAGGAAATCGCAGATGGACAGTCCATCTGCGATTTTAAGGGGTAAAGAAGAGTATTTATACAGCAAAAAAAAATCTATCTGTGAACGTACAAGTGGCTTAAGCACAAACGTGTTTTAGCCACTTGTACGTTCGCAGATGACTTGCCAAAATCGCAGATGAGCTTAATCAATATGCGATTTTGGTGGCTAAAAATGCAATTTCGTTTTTTTTTTGCTATTTTTCACAAAGTAATTAATATTTTTGGCTAAATTTGCAATTTTCTTTAAAAATTATTGTTATCTTGTGTTTGCTCGTATGGATACTCATGGAGTGGTTCATAGTTTTAAACAAAGTTTCTATATCAATTCAATGACAATAATATATTTCATAAAAACCTATTAGAGTTGATTGTTGGTTAATTTATTAAATTCAATTGGATCCACTCTTTTGGTAAATTATTTATTGTTTTTATTGCATGTAATAGCTTGTAAATTGTTTTAAGCAATCAAGAATTCCCAGCACCAACTAGTAATTAATTTACATCTCCAAATGCGGATTCAATAAACGGAATCAACACACTTGAAGAAGACTTACAGATGAAGAAATTTTAAGGTATTAGATTGTTTCCATTGTACATTTAGGATTTAGCGATTAATCATTTTCGTGTGAAATTTTTTGCTAATATTGGTTATTTATACCAAATTTTCAAGCATGGGCTTGAGTCATTGGGCTCATTAATTTCAATATTGAGAGCAACAATCTTGGGCATACGCAAGAAATCTTGTTTTGGGTTTAAGTCTCATTAGTTAATCCATAGAATATCCAAAAGATAAAAGTAATCTCTCTTATTTCAACCTTAATATGAAGTTTTAAGGAGCAAATGTGAAGAAAACATTCAAATCTTGCAAATGATTAACGATTATGATGGCATAAGATTTCAAAACTAGTGTTTCAACGTCTTATAACGCTTCTATATCAATTAAAATAGTTATTTTCAAGTAGGAACCGAATGGAAATAAATGTTTGGACCAAACCCCTTAATAATGTGGAGTTGTCAAGAACCCTACTAAGTTGACATGATACAACTATGGTATCGAAACCCATGGAACCATGGGTCCACATTGCTAGATTAGATGTGTTGTTGGTTGACGTCATCATTTCAATACTCAAATCCATGACCTTGTGATGCACATGAAATTGGTAAAAAGTTAAAACATTATTTGTAAATTTGTAAGTCTATTTCGTTGCATAAATTGGTAACAAAGTAAAACATGGTTTCATAAATATACATTCAACCCTTTACTAAAATGCAAGTAGAAATCACAATTCACAAAACAAGTATTACGATTAACAAGTTTTTTTTTTTTTTTCATATAATACGCATTTCAATAATCAAAATTGATTAGGATACATAATATACAAAAGAAACACGCTACATAAATAATATATACTCGATTTAATTTATATGCTATAATTCCAAGATTCGGGATAAGGATCAACCCATTCTTTATCCTCTTTAACAGCGGCTTGCCATCTACTTTTGAATATCTTGTATTCATTATGTGAATGCTTTCTCACCTAAATAAATACATTAGATATTAATTGTATTCATATAGTAATTCTAGATAATAATATAATAAAAACTTACTTCCATTCTAGCATTCGTAGCAGAAGAATTACAAGGGTTTTCCAGCAACTACATTGTTAATAAAAACTTTAGGGAATACAAATATAAAATCTTAAGAAATTTTTATAAAATGAAAAATGATGAATAAATTTGACCTTGCTTTGACTTTCCCCGATAGTTGGGAAACCAAAGTGAACTATGTATTCAGCATCCACAACCCCGACATTTTTGGTTCTATCTCCCTATAAAAAAAATACTGATGTCATCAACAAAATGCCCTAAAAAATAAAATCAAAATCAAAAAGAGAAGAAAGGTGTTTAATTACTTGTGCACAATAACCAAACATAAGATCTAGTCCCCATGCATGGTTCAAATCATTCTGACAAAATATAAACCAATCAAATTATTTTAGTGTAAAAAATTAAGACAAAGGGAAAAGACGTAAATGCCCTTATAGTTTACCTGGATCATATACCACATACATCTCCATGCAGCTCTAGAGAAAACTGGAGCCATTAACTCTATCCACCTTCAAAAAAACATCATCACATAATCTTATCTCTATATCTCCATGGTCAATAAATAGCAATGTACTTTTACCAAATTAAAAATAAAGTAAAATTAAGTTTCTATTTATAGCAATATTTCCTTTTAGAAATATTATATCAATATATCCAATGTGAAGTTTTATTTTATTTACCCTGTGCAAGGAGGGTATTGACTAGTCCAATCACATCCATTTTTGTTGCCACCAGTTTTAACCCTCCTAAACATCCAACAAACAATAGTTATTTACAAAATTGCCCCTGTAATAATTATTTAAAGAGAGAGAAGATTAGATAACCTGTGAAGTGTTGAGTTTTTCCATCGTGAAGTAATCGCATGATGCACCACTGACTTTTTTGTATCAAGTGCTGGTTGTGAGATTTCAAGCCCTTCATCTTTCACAATTGACACATAACTGTGAATATCAAAATACTAAAAACAATATTCAATCTCATTTTCTCACATAATTATAGCAATTTTCAATACACAAAAAAAAAATTCAATTTTTTTATTAAGCCTAGCATACCGGCCAGGGTCAAAATTGTCAATTCCAAGATCTTCATCCCATAGAAAAATATAACTGTATTTGGTCACGATATCTGGATGTAAAAACCGCTTTGCAAACCACCTGTGTGTCACCATTAAACATGACATTCTCACACAATGAGACATGTATGTATGTATGTATGTATGTATGTATGGATGTATGGATGTAGGATTTAGGGTTTTTACCATTTTGTTTGATTAATTGCGGATACATGTATGACATTATCGGACCAATCTAAATCGTTCCATGCATCAACAACACCATCATAATGGAAAAGCATGACACTGAAATTACTTGATAAAAACTGCATTAGAATATAGAAGGAAGAGATTACCTAATGTGTTGATTAAAAAGTAAAAACTAAGATAGTTTTTAAAAGAAAGGAAGAGAAATTTTTACCTTGGTAACCATTTTATCTACTGTTTCCTTTTGTTTGATACCAACGGCAGCAGTAAATAAGCTTGTTGAAGAATTTACTTTCTGTTGATAAGGATGCATATTTATTTATTAATTTAATTATATTTGATGATTTTAATTTTGGGAAAAGATTAAATTACTTTACGTCGTCCCCATAGGGGTTGCATTTGTAGGTCGGAAATATTGGCGACAAGTCCTTTAGGTAATGCCTCTTTTCCACGAGGCCATTTGTGGTCCCCCTGCGGTGGTGGTGGTGATGGCGATGGCTGTGTTCGTCTTTGTGGTTGCAGTTGTGGTTCCGGTGATGGTGATGGTGATGGTGATGGCGTCACTTGTGTTTCCGTTTCCGGTTGCAGTTCTGGTGATGGCGGCTGTTGCTCTGGTGGTAGCGGTGGCTGTGGTTGTGGAGACGGAGGCGGCGGTTGTTCTGGTGGTGGCGGATGTGGTTGTGGATACGGCGCCGGCGGTTGCTCTGGTGGTGGCGGTGGCTGTGGTTGTGGAGCCGGCAGTGGCTGTTGCTCTGGCGGTGGCGGTTGTGGTTGTGGAGACGGCGACGACTGTTGCTCTGGTGGTGGCGGATGTGGCTGTAGAGATGGCTGATGTTGTGGTTGTAGTTGCACAGGTGGCGGTGGTTGCGGTTGTGGAGATAGGTTTGGTCGCACCGGTGGTTGTGGAGATACCTGTGGTTACGGAAGTGCTTATATTAAAACAAAACATTTAAAATTTTAAAAAAAAATAATGTTATACACTATGATAATCAACTATAAGAAAAACAATTTATAGTGGAAAGAAATATATAAAATTAAATTACATAGGAATCGAAAAAAAAAACTAACTTAATTAAAATAATAAATGATAAAGCAGTTTTGATGTAATCATGGATAAACTTATTTTGTGATTGAGAGAAAATAAGACAAAGTTAGCTAAATACTTGAATATGAAGAAAAAACAAACCTCACTTGTTTTTGGATATCTCGAGCCTCGTATAAAGTCTATGCCCGATTTAACAGACCTCTGCATAGAAACACCCAACTTCATTAAGGGGGTGTTTGGATAGAGAAAAAATAGACTGCTTATTGCTTATTGTTTATTGCTTAATCCCACCGCAATAAGCAAATTTAAGTGTTTGGATGGGAGTCTTTAAAAATCAGCTTATTGCGGTAGGAATAAGCAAAATAAGCTGATTTTAATAAGCAATGGGGGAATGCTTATTGCTTATTGCTTATTGGTCATTTTACTCATATAAGCTATTTTGTTTGCCAAACACTTAAAATGCTTATTGCTTATTGCTTATTCCCACCGCAATAAGTTAATCCAAACATATTTTAAAAAAAATGTTTATTCCCACCGCAATAAGCAAATAAGCAATAAGCTAATAAGCTAAAAACTATTTATCCAAACACCCCCTAATATATATACAACAAATCTCAAGACAAGTATTCAAACATCAATGATAGAAATGAGGGAAATGTATTTCAATTTCATAACATAAAACTTAAAAAAATCAAGTTTCATAAATTTCCCTTCCAACTTTCCCATTATATGTGTGATAACTTGACATTAATGAAGGTGACAAGGAACCAGGTACAAATTCTATTTAAAGTAGTTAATATGACATGACAAAACAAAACATGACAGTCTTATACTGTGTGGGACCGGGACCGGGACCAGGATTGAGGCCAACACAACAAAATTTGATAATTTTTGGTCCTACCCAAGTGGGACATAGACTTTTTCTCGATCTTTCGTGTGTGTAAAAGACATGAATACCCTCCTCATCATTCTTTAGCAGTAAAAAGATACATTATGAATTAAAATAACATGAATACCTCTGTATTATCTTTACCAACAAATATAGTACTAAGTAATAAGGCTAGGCATAGTAGAAAAGCAGCTGGTAGAAAGAAGCTATATAATGCTCATGTGTTTCTTGGACTTTTCAGCCATGACACCTAAGATAATAAAAATCATTTAAGTATTGTTTAATCAAAAAGTTTCAATAAGTATCAAGAAGATGACACCCTTAATGCAGTATATTTCCAACATGGTATCAACTTGTACCCTAAACCCTAAACGCCCTTCATAATGTCACAGAAAATAAAGCCTTGAGCTTGAGATTTCACTTATGGATTCTCACTTCACTGATTTTAATTTTCCTTTCAATATTAAATTTTTTGGTTCTTTCTTGTATGTGAAAAGATTATCATGTTTTCATTCATATGTGCTTGTTAAAAACAAAATTCTTATCCGTTTCTGATAAAAACTTTATCCCCAACATGATTATAGGATGTGTAATGCAAGTAATTATCAAGTTTCTCCCAAAAATAAATATTGGCTCAAAAGTTAAAGATTTTTTGTTTTTCATAGGACGAATCTTCAAAACCTTCAATTTCTATGTGAACCATATGTATATGAGAAACATACAGTAAATTATCAACGTCAATAAAATTAGGCAAATGATTTTTTGTTGATTGAAATCCAAAATTCACAAAATTAACATAAATATCAGTCTGTGCATGTAGGAATCGAGATAGAGAGAGATGGTGCTTACAAATCTTGACGCCATTGTCTTTCATTGAAATCAATATGATCCTTTTCACCTATGTTATGATATTAAGATCAGTTTAATCATTCGAACATGAAATTCCCTAAAATGGAGTGAAAACAGAAGTGAAAGAAATTAATAAAGTATGAAATCGATCAGAATTTTGGGAAAAAAACCCACCGTAGTACATTGGATTGAGTAGAAATTGTACGAACCCTAAAAGACAGAAAGGAAGAGCGGAGAATCTGCCGATTTGGAAGGAGAATTACAGGGAACAAATAGAGGGTGCAAATGTGCGAAATCTGTCATCGTGTCTGCAATCTCTCGAGTCTCGATTGTATTGGTCTATTAATACGTTTGGGGTTTTTTTTATATGTCCGTTTTTACATGTTCGTTGCATCGGCAAAGTTTGAAAAGTTACAGAATTAGTCCTTAGCTTATACACCAATGGATAGGTTTAGTCATTATTTTTGGTTTTATGTTTTCTCTTAGGTTTCAAATCAACATTTTATAATTCATGTCACTTTGCCACATAGGCTTCAAATCAACATTTTATCTTTCATGTCACTTTCATCTTTTTCTGCCACTCCTATCTTTTTCAACCCACAAGGCAGAAATCCATTTTCCCTAACCAACTCTTTAATATATAAGTAAGGTTGTAAACGAACTGAACTTTCAACAAACTGTTCGTGAACCGTTTAGTGGGAACTTCATTTATGTTCTTTTATTTAATAAATGAATGAACATGAATACAAATTTTCGTTCGTTTAATTAAATAAATGAACATGAACAATATTATTGTTCATTCAATTAACACGGTTATGTTAACCGACTCGTGAACGTTCGTTAATATTGTTCGTTTAAGTTGGTTCATTTAAGTTTCTTTTATGTTTGTTTACATTACTATAGTATATGTTTGTTTTTGTGCATTTATGTTCATGTTCACATATATTTGTTTATATATCTTTGTTTATGTTCGTTTAACATGTTCATGAACATAAACGAACGAACTTGAACAATATAATTTGTTAAACAAACGAACATGAACAAGAAAACTTGATTGTTTATCTGTTCATGTTCGTTCGGATTTAAACGGACGAACATAAACAATCATCGTCCGTGTTCGTTCGATTCGTTTACATCCCTATATACAAGTATTGAAACCAAGTATACAAGTTGGTAGAGAAAAAGTTGAGCAGGTTAGTCAGCACCACCATTTTGAACCCGCTCAAGGGGTGGAGCCGTGAGTACTACAAAAATATATGGTCTAACCTAACAAATCCATTAGGTTCTCCAAACACTAATGGTTGATTTTCAAAAATCCTTCTAACTGGGCCACTACAGCCAACCCGAATGAGCATCATGTGACAAGTAAAATAGATTTGTTCAGATCGCAAAACCAACCCAGATCTCGATTGACTTGTCAGCAAAATACTATAAAAATGAGACATCGCATTTGCAATTGATGTACTTCGTAAACCCCAAATCCCACCTTAAACACTATCTTTTATGTTGACTACATTAAATTTTACTGCTATAGGCATGCCTACCGTTGTTAGATTTAATCAAATATATTTGTTGACGGTGAAAACAAGAATGTTTAATTTGAGAGAAAAGAAAAGAAAAATATTAGAGAAAATAATATAAATGTCTCCACTCTTATTATTGATGATTTATGTTAAAATAATTTGATTAGAAAAAATTTATTTTAAATTATGTTGTATCAAAATAAACTTAGTCGTTTATTTTACAATTAATTGTGGAACATCTTACCATTTCTTACAAGTTCGCATGAAAATCCCCAAAGAAACCCTGGAGAAAAAAAGTTCAGATCAAATGCTCAACTCTTCGTTTTGTATTGAATGACCTAAAAATAGCGGTGGAAAAATGTTGCATTGGATTTCTTTCATACGATGAATATTCTTGTTAGAAGATTCAACTCCATTCCAACTTCACAACAAGATACGAAACTTATCAGACAGATCAAAGATTTGATCTTGCAAGGACTACATGTTGAAGCTCTTCATCTCTACAAAAACCAACTGCATCTCCATGTAGACACTTTCACACCCATTATTCCTTCAGTTATAAAAGCCTGTTCACTCTCCCAAACCCACCATGGCTTTGGTCTTCAGCTTCATTCTCACTCCCTCAAACTGGGATTTAATTCAGAATCCGTCATTTCGAATTCAATCATCTCTTTTTACGCTAAATACCACGACATCAACTCTGCACGTAAACTATTCGACGAAATGTCTCAAAGAGACTCTATCTCCTGGAACTCCATGATAAACTGCTACACTCAAAACGGGAATTGCCTCGAATCTTTACAGATGTTTAAGAAAATGTACGAATGTGGATTTGTAGCAAAACCAGAGCTGATTGCTAGTATTCTTTCTGTATGTGCTCAATGTCAACGTACAAAATCAGGTAAAATGATCCATGATCTTTCCATTGTTGATGAGAGATTTGAAAACTCTGTATTCCTATCAACAGCTCTACTAGACTTGTATTGGAAATCCAGTGATTCAAGAATGGCTTTTCATGTTTTTGATTCAATGGAGGACAAAAACGAAGTCTCCTGGACTTCCATGATTCAGGGATATACTGGAATCCATGATTCCAACATGGCAATTGACTCTTTTCGAAAAATGCAAATCAAAGGAATTAAACCTAACATCGTGACACTAATTTCTATTCTACACATTTCTCTTGAGTTAAACTTAAACACAATTAAAAGCATTCATGGGTATGCTTTTCGCCATGGATTCCATTCAGATATCCGTATTTCATCATCTCTAATTCACCTCTATTCAACTCACACTTCTTCATTACCTCTCATTAAACCAATCTTTGAAAACTCAACACAAAGAGATTTAATACTTTGGACTTCCATCATCTCAGCCTACTCTCACCATAAAGAAACTGCCAAAAACTCAATATCACTTTTCAACCAAATGCAAAAAGAAAAATTCCATCCGAATTCCATAACCCTATTGGGAATACTCGATGCTTGTACTAACATTCCATCAATAACCTCCGGAATCGGAATCCATGGATACATAATCAAAACCGGTTTCGATTCCGACATCTCCATTACAAATTCCCTAATCAACATGTACTCAAAATGCAGGTCCCTTAAAGATTCATTAAAAGTTTTTCAAGAAACACCAACCCCAGATCATGTTTCATGGAGTGTGATTATAAACGCATATGGCATCCATGGCTATGGTGAAAAAGCTTTGGAAATCTTTAAAGAAATGAAAGAAAAGGGAATAGAACATGATTCCATTACATTGGTTTCTGTTTTATCGGCTTGTAATCACTCTGGTTTAGTTGAAGAAGGAGATAGAATTTTTTCAGAAGTGAAAAATGATGGAAAGTTGATAAATTTGGAGCATTATGCTTGTTATATTGATCTTCTTGGAAGATCAGGAAAGGTGGAAAAGGCTAGTGAGGTGATGAGAAAAATGGGTATGAAACCGAGTGTGAAAATAATGAGTTCTTTGGTTTCAAATTGTAGGATTCATGGAAGATTAGATGTTGCTGAAAATATGTTGAGTTGGTTTATAGAATTGGAAAGTGATGATGCTGCTAATTATGTGTTGTTGAGTATGATTTATGCTGAATTTGGTAAATGGTTGAATGTGGAAGGTGTTTGGAGGGATATGAAGTTGAGGGGGTTAAAGAAAAGTTGTGGTTTTAATAGGGTTGAAAATTGAAAGTTAAAGAAAGTTTAAAGGAATGTGATTCCTTTTATGTTGATTGGTTTTTCTTATTCCATTATGGAATGGTATGAGAGTTGTAATATACTAGTAACATAGTTTTTTTATGTACTTAAAAACTAGGAAATATATTTATTTATAATTTTTCTTGAGTTTATGTGAGTTTTGTTTTTAGCTTTTTAAATAGAAGGTAATAAACAATGTATAAACTAGTGTAAAAAGTTCATAAATATATATATATATATATATATATATATATATATATATATATATCACGGGGACGGTGGATAAACACAAAATTTTAGAAAACAAAGAGGAAAAAAATGACAATTTACAAAAGTTAAAGGTGGAGGGATAAAAGTGATATTTTAAAAAGCAAGGGATAGAAAAAATAATTTTACAAAATAAAAAGGTTACAAGTGATAAATAATTCAAATACTTGGGGGATTAAATTCGCCATTTATGCTTTGATGTAGTTGTATATTATGCATTGAGAGTGGTAATATTAGCTACAATATCACTCTCTCACGTACTCAACTTTGCTATTTGTTTGTTCTGTTTTAAAATTATTATCTACAGATAAAAAATATATAAATAAAAAAATATTAATTTCACTAACTTTATTAAATAAAATGATCATTATAATCTTTTGTTACATTTAGTTTAATGGTAGATTAACTAATAACAACGAAATAAGAAAGAAGTATTTTGATAAAAATAATATTTATTTTTAGAATCAAGTATTAATAAGGAAGGGAGAAAATATATGTTTATAGTTTTTATACCAAATAAGCATCAGCCCAATTTATGACGAAATAGTCGTAGGCCCAATTTGAACCCACGGGTCAACAATTTCTGCCCACGTTAAATGACCCGAATTGAAATCGCCAAATCCCAACATGGCAAGTTGAACAAAAATCCTCTTTGCATAAATCAGTCAATCATACGCAACCCAGAAAAAACCCCAAACCAAAAATCGCAGAAATTCGATTATACAAATCTAGGGTTTCAGAAATCGCGAAGGGAATTCCTGTTTGTTGCTTCCAACATGAGTCTCACCCAATTCTCAATGGTAAAGCGTTCTTCTTTATGTTTCTCCCTTGTAGATGCTGATGCTAATCCTTCCGATATGTTAATACTCTATGCTGTAGTTTGCAGGGGAGTGTATATTGAATATTCAACTGGAATCTTTCCTTTTGCTCATTGAATTGCTTTCCTTTATACTACGCCATGTATGAAACTTCATAATTCTTTTCTTAAGGATGTGAATCATGATTCATGAACGTATGCACGATTACGCTACTTTCAAATATGCGTTTGAGTAGTCTAAAATAGCAAGAGGAAACTTTAATTACCTGGATTTCAAGGATATCAGTATGAGAAATTGAGAATCAATATCTACATGAGACCCAAACCAATTAGGGTGTGCAATATTTTAGTTAGAACCATTGAGGAAGCTTTCTTCTTCACATTACTTTTCTATTTTTGTTACATAACGTTAGTAAAATTTGATCTAATTATTACATATTTTAAAACCCAAAATCTGTTGTTCTGATATGTTTGTCTGCTTGAACTACATAACAAAAAGTGCAGGTTGAAGAATTAGCTTTTCTAGTAAAAGACAATCTTCCTTGCAAGCACCTTGTTCTATCAATGGAAGATATGCTAGTCGATTTCCTTCAAGATGATACGAGGTTTGTTTGCTTCTTTTTAAACAGTAAAACTCAAATCTCATTGAAATACACTTCAAATTGGCAAGTGTCGTGACTTTTCAATTCAAATTCTTTTTCCTCTTTTACTATTTGTTTCCCTACATTTTCCTTTTCTCAAAAGATTGTGCCAAGATAATCTAACTTAACAAAATCATATTTTTACAACATTTGATTACAAATTCTGTTGGTTAAAACTAAATAAAAGCCATGTAATTGTGATATTAGTCAAGGCTATTTCTTGCCTTTTACCCTTTTGAGTAATTTTACATCATTCTAAACTTCATCCTAATAAATAAAAAGATTTATTTTCACAATTTGTCGATGTATTGCAGCTTAGATGAAGAGCTAGAGTTACAGCCAATGAATCCCTACAATCGTCTTCTCCTACATCGCCTTGCTGATATTTTTGGGTATCTTTCTTTTCATTATTTTATATAATTTATTGTTATCACTTCTTAAAATGTTACATTTTGTGCTTATCATCTTAAAAAAACCTCATTTTTTTTTTGTTGCAAGATTTTCTCACCAATCTATAGGTGAAGGAGATGAAAGACATCTTGTTTTAAAGCGTTGTGAGGACACATCAATGTATGTCTACAACACTAATTTTTAACAATTTTATTTTATTTTGACCACTTTAACCAAAATATAGTGAATGTTATGTATTTTTCCCAAAAATAACCGAGGGCAAATTTGTAAATAGTCATGACATTGTGGGAGTCAAAAAGTCGTGAATGTCCTCCTCATCTTCATAGTAAACTAGTAGAAGAAGGTGAGGCATGGACTTGCTCTAGATCTCCCATTTGTGCAAAAGACTAAAATACCCTTCTCATCCTGATCATTGAAAGTAGCTTTTGAAAGCATGTCGAGTAATGTCATGTCATTTGTAATTGTAAACAATTAACACAAATTTAAGATTATAATGAGAGACTTTTCACATTATTCTCTCTTAAAATACCCTCTAGATCTCCCGTCTGTGCAAAAGACTAAAATACCCTCTGCTTAAATGGCAGGCCTTCCATTCTTGTTTCAGATATGTTATGGGAGCATGATGAATACCAATCTCCAATCACATCACAACTCTTATCAAGACGAGAAGATGGTTCTCCCGGTATTTTTATTTTATTTTATTTTTATTATTTCTTCCATTACAGACAGCCTTATACTGTGTTTGGCATGCATTGGATTGATACTGATGTTAATGAGACAAAAAGTGCACCTTTTTGTTTTCCCCAAAAAGGTGGGACTGAGAATCATTCTTGATCTCTTGTTTGTGAAAAAAGACGAAAATGCCCTTCTCAACGTCATCACATAAAATATCCTTAAAAAGCTTGTTCAATCCACTCTACTCGTGCAACTTTCATATGTCTATAGAAGTATCAAATTGATTATTCTTATTCTCTTAGGGACAAAAGTGGAAACTTTATCTTTAGCTCATGTATCTCTAGAGGACAGAGAGGCAGCTTACCTGGCAGCCCGAAACCGTATTTTCTCAACAGAAGATGATGACGTGGCATCACTTGATAAAAATAGGCCTCGAAATAATCCGATTGTTGCTCGACGTATGATCGCACATGCACTTGGTCAAAAAGTCAAACAATCTAATCAAGAAGGGTTGAAAAGTCAAAAGGGTGGTCAAAGTCAAACCGTTGGTCCAAGCTTGCAATTGCAAACTCGTCCGAAGTCAAACGGTCAAAGTCAAACTAAGATATATTCAAATAAGAAGGTGCCTCAACAAAATACCGAAATTACCCTTTCGAGTGCAAGAAAATGTGAAAATCTAAAAGAGGAACATATTGGGGCTGCAAAACGGATGTTTGCTCATGCCTTGAGAATGCATAACAGAAAAGATAATGTAGTTTCAAAGGGTACCCAAATTAAGCAAAATGACAATCTTACCCCTTAGGTACTTTTCCCTTTTTGACTTAATGGACTTAATTGAGACATGTATATATATGATTGTTTCTTTTTGGCTTAATGCATAAAGAACAACCTAATACTAAAAAAAGTCTTTAAAGTCTAAAAAATATAGCAATATATTATCTTACCTTTAATTTCTTTCTATTACAACATTGTTATTTCTTCTATTACTTGCCTTCTAACTAAATTGTTCCATGTAAAGCTTAGGGCATTTCATACTTGAAACCAACAAAAGGAAAATAGAATGTTTTTGATGATTCCTCTATTCTTAGAAGACGTATTACAACAAGTTAACCACAAGATCTTACTCTAAAATCATGCGAAAAAAGAAGGTGAAATTTGGGAAGTGGATCTTTCGATGTTGAAGAAAAATTTGCAAATGATGTCTTGATGTAGGGCATTGGAAAATGGTGAATATTTGCAAGAAAAGTTTTGCCCTCTGTTTTTGTGTTCAATTTTAGCAATGTTTTTAAGCTAAGTTTTTATAATGATGTTATGGTGAAAAGAGGGTGAACTTATGTCCTTTGTATAATACAAGATGTGCATGTGATATTGAAGTTGGAATTTACCTTCTCTTTAATATTTATTTTGTCTTGAAGTAATGTTGATTGATTTGAAATTGAAGTTGGTGCCCTTTTTCCAATGATTTTGGTTATTGAACGAAATAGTTATCATTTATATTTGAATGTAATAGCTTTATGCATTTAGGAGTGTGTTCCATTGGTCTAACTAGTTTAAGTGTTTCATGTAAGAGGACAACAATCTTTAGGTCTAATTCTTTAAATGATTGCTTTAAAGTATTCAAGAAAATCACAACACACTTGATCAAATGGAAGTAAAAATATAAATAAGCCTCATTTCTCTAACTTCTTTTATTTAGATGTTTTTTTACATCGAAGTAAAAAAGAAACACTCGTAGCTTACATAAAAACAAAAATATCACCTAAATATACATTGTGTTTATCTCAATCCTTGTTATAAAACACCATTTGGAATCATAGCAACCTCATTATGTACATAAGAAAAACTTATTCCTAATCACCACCTTTAGAGTACTTTGTCTTGTAAATATACTTATAGAAAACAATCTTGATTTTGGCTTTCAAGCTTCACTTCTCCTCATCTCAAAGTGGAATCACTTGCACTTCCAACGATTTTGTTGTTGTGAACGTCTTCATCTCCCTCTTTGCTCGCTACATTAAACCAAAGTGGTTAATTTTTTATTATTAATGCATTGTAATTAAACAAATCTACCAAATTATAGCTTAATACATTGTTGTGAACGTCTTCATCTCCCTCTTTGAAATTTTTTTTCTTGTCAGGACATAATAGTTTAAAAAGTCTACCTACTTATAGCAATGAAAATTTCACTTGCTTTATAATGTGCGTGACATTGCTAAAACTGGGAAGATTTTATAAATTACAGTGGTGTATGTGAATAAATAAAAACGATAATAAGCAAAGTATGGCAAATTACAGAAAAACCACTATATTTCGGACAATTTTGCGGTTTAATAATTTATTATGTATTTTTTTACAATCAAACACTTTTTTTAGATTAACCATTTTGATCTTTAATACATATCAAAATGGTTAATCTGGAAAAATACCAGTGAAACCTAACATAACAAAATCACAATATAATAAAATTACCGTGAAACATGATATAACAGTTTAAAATGGTTAATTCCAAAAAGTGACCGAGACTTATATGGTTTGATTGAGAAATAAAATAAAATATTACCGGTTAAATTGCAAAACAGCCCAACTGTAATATAATGTTTTTTTTTGCAATTTCTTTGAGACTTTTATGATTTGATTGGAAAAAAAAATAAAAATAAAGTATTAATGGTTAAACTCCATAACATCCTTGCATAATATAATGTTTTTTTTTATAATTTTCTTTGAGAATTTTATGTTTTGATTGGAAAAAATTAAAATATTAGTGGTTAAACTGCAAAACTATCCATCATATATATATATATATATATATATATATATATATATATATATATATATATATATATATATAAAATTTGTCCAAC